CCATCCAATCAATTCCCCACAGACACAATCAAGCCCCGCCCACATGTGCTCTTGTTCCAGAAGCGTTTCACTCGATATACGACACAATAGGGGAAAAAAGACTGTAATAATAACGCACCACGCCGAAGCTGAAGATGTCTGATTTAGGAGTGATCTCTCCTCTCAGCGCCTCCTGCGCCATGTAGGCCGTCGTTCCCACAATCCTCTCTGTCATGACCGTCGAGCACGAGTGTTTGGCTGAAGCTCGCGTCAACCCGAAGTCGGAGATCTTCGCAACCAAGCCTTCATCCAACAAGATGTTCGCGCTGTCGAACAGAAGAAATAACGGGCGTTTGTGAGTTACTCTGGATTCAAACCCCACAGACAATATTGTGCAACATGATGATGTCAAATAGGTTTTTTAAGTCACCAAAGCTGCTTTTATTTGATCAAAAATACAGGAAAAATTGTGAAATATTATTATGATTTAGAATAGCTGTTTTCTGAGTGAATATATAGTGAAATATAATTTATTCCTGTGATCAAAGCTGCTTTTATTTGATCAAAAATACAGTAAAAATAGTGAAATATTATTATAATGTAAATCATCGGTTTTCTATGTGAATATATAGTCAAATATAATTTATTCCTGTGATCAAAGCTGAATTTTCAGCATCATTACTCCAGTCTTCAGTGTCACATGATCCTTCAGAAATCACTCTAATATGAGGATCTGATGCTCAAGAAACATTGTAAACATTAATATTTTTATGGAAACTGTGACATATTTTATTTTCCGCGATTCTTTGATGAATAGAAACATTTTAAAACATCAGAAACTTATAGTAAACTTATCAAGACACCAAAACTAAATTTGAGTTTTGAAGTTTAATCATTTTAAAATAATGTGAAAATGAAATGTTTTTGAAAACTTACAAAAACTACTTGTGTGTAAAACAGAAACATTAGAGCTGAAGAGGTGTCGCTCACCTCTTGACGTCTCGATGGATGTGGTTGTTCTGGTGCAGGAACTGCAGACCTCGAGCCGATCCGGCGCTGATCCAGCATCTGCTCCGCCAGGAGAGAGGAGGAGAGCCGTCCACACACGCCAGCCGGTCCAGCAGCGAGCCCTGGGGCATGAAGGAGTACACCAGACACATGTGCTGCCCCTCACTGGAGGACCCCAGCAGCTCCACCAGATGCTCATGCTTCAGACTGAGTGAAGAGAGAGAGAGGGGGAAGGAGGGAGAGAGGGGGAGAGAGAGGGAGAGAGAGAGGGAGAGAGAGGGAGAGAGAGAGAGAGAGAGAGAGAGAGAGAGAGAGAGAGAGAGAGAGAGAGAGAGGAGAGAGAGAGAGAGAGAGAGAGAGAGAGAGAGTGAGAGAGAGAGAGGGAGAGAGAGAGAGAGAGGAGAGAGAGGGAGGAGAGAGAGAGGGGGGAGAGAGAGAGACAGAGGGGGAGAGAGAGAGACAGAGGGGGAGAGAGATTGCCAATGAGGAATAAAACAAATTCATATTCAATATAAATTCAATCCAAAAACTGCTGAATCAATGAAAGATGAAATGACAGAAGACTTGAAAAATATATACATATTTTTTCCAATATACATTTATTCATTCACATATGAATAACATGTGTGTGTGTGTTTGTGTGTGTGTGTGTGTGTACAAATAAAAAATTATTTATACATTTTATTTTATAAATATCTTATATAATACAATGTTTTATACATAAATTACTTAATAAATAATAAATATAACATTTTATATATAATCAATATGGTTGAATAATATATGTTTATTTATAGATTATAATATTATAATATATATAATAAAATTATATTAAAATATATTAAATCCATAATTTTTCATGATGTAATTATAAAATGTATATATGTATAATAGGTATATATATATATATATATATATATATATATATATATATATATATATATATATATATATAAATAAAACTTTTTTTTTATATATTTTTGATTATTAGATTATTTATAAGACATTTTATATAATATATATATATATATATTTATAAATATATGTTGTTTTGTATATATATATATATATAGAGAGAGCAATGTTAGATTTTTTATAGATTCTAAATTACATATAATATTTTAGATATAATAAAATTACATATAAAAATACATTCAATCCATAGTTTTTTCATAATGTAATTTAAAAATGTCATTTTATATTTATAATTATTTTAAATATATATTTGTACCTCCTGAGAGTTTGAATTTCTTGATTAAACTGAGTCTTCATGTCTTCGAGTGAGCCGTCGTCCATCTAGAACAAAACAAATGTTACCATGATGACATTTTTTTAACTTTGTTTAGACCATATTTACTGTCTACTTTCATCAAATGCAGAAGTAAAACGGTTATCAAACACATGAAACTTGTTGATTTGATAGTTTAGTGGTATTCGCAGAAGTACTGAGGTCAAACTCACAGGATTGAGCTTCTTCACAGCTACATAAGAGTCTCCCATCCGGCCTCTGAAGACGACGCCGAAGCCGCCGGAGCCGAGCCGACAGCCTCCGTCCACCAGGGGGCGCTCGTCCCAATCGCTGGTAATGACCGTCAGCTCGCGGTAAGAGAACGTGTGGAACCCTGGGTGAGAGAGGGGTTCAGGGGCTGATGGGTAACGGATGTCTGATGTGGTTATATAAAGACCTTCAGAGCTGCTCCATGTGTTCTCCTCGGGTCCGGTGCTGCTGTCCGGCTCCAGCACACGCGTCTCCTGCTGAACGGGGTTAGGGACCTCGGGACAGGCGGACAGGTGAAGCACTTCTTCAGATGAGCCTGATTTCAAAAGTGTTTATTATAAATGATTTATAGGTGCACATCATCATTATTGTGTTAATAATGTTGAATGAGAATAAGTTCCTCTTGCAGCATCTCTTCTCTTCTCTGGTGACAAAATCAAGCCCCGCCCACATTTGTTCTTGTTCCAGAAGTGTTTCACTCGATATACGACACTATAGAGGAGAAAAGACGACCGCAACTTCTCTTTCATGCTGACTTTAATACATCTACGTCTACAGATACATTTGGAAAAGCATCTTTTTCTGATGATTTAAAGGGGGCCTATTACCTTACTTTTACATGGCGTTTAAACATAAATGTGTGTCGGCAGTGTGTGTACACAACCACCCTATACTGGTAAAAATCCACTCACTCTTTTTTTTTTATCCTCATCATAAGTCATAATTAGTGTCTCAGAACAAGTTGTTTGCAGTTTCTCTGCAATGTGACGTCACTTATGCTTAAGCCCCGCCCACGACTGCTGATGGACTCCACCCTATTAGCATAGACCCCGCCCACGACTGCTGATGAACTCCACCCTATTAGCATAGACCCCGCCCACGACTGCTGATGAACTCCACCCTATTAGCATAGACCCCGCCCACGACTGCTGATGGACTCCGCCCTATTAGCATAGGCCCCGCCCACGACTGCTGATGGACTCCGCCCTATTAGCATAGGCCCCGCCCACGACTGCTGATGGACTCCGCCCTATTAGCATAGGCCCCTCCCCTCAGTGAGCTGTACATAGTCCACCATGTCTACACTGTAAAAACGCCAATTAATAAAATGTTGGAAGAACAAAAATATTTAAGTTGAACCAATATTCATGCTTGGTATTAGTTAAGAAGACATATTATATTAAGTCTACAAAAATATATTTGAAAAAAAATTAAATGAAGGGATATTTTCAAATCCAGTCAACTTTAGGATGGCTAATGTTGACTGGACTAATAAACACAAATCTAGCCAATATTTGCTAAGTATAAGGCCAGCTATGCTATACAATATTTTAATGCGTAAAACAGAACATATTTGTTGTTTTGTTGTTAAAATGAACATTTATAAATATTTAATAAACATTTGATATAATATCAAAACAACATCAAATTGTCGAGGTTTCGTTTCTGCACTATGAGAGCGGATGGATCCTATACAACACTTTAATATATAAAACCTTTATTTTTTAAATCTTGAATTTAAGCCGTCTATTTTTGGTAATAAACACAAAATAAAAGCGCATCGCTACATTTATAGAGAATGGAAGGATCTGGATTATGGTTCACTTGATTTTGCGGAAGGATACAGCATTTGACTTCGCGGGTTTTACAAGGCAGTGGCTCGGCTGCGGACCGGTAGCTACTGCGGGTGAGGGAGACATTGGCAAAGACGTTCTTAACTCAAGGTAAGTGGCTCTGAATAAATGATCGATTTTAAACCTAATAACGACAAAAATGTACAACATATGTGATGGTTTTTTGTTGTTACGTCCTGAGACGGATTTAGAAATGTTTTTATTAGTTATGTCCGAGAGAAAGTTAACTTAAGTGTAACGTTAGGCCTATGTCAAGTTCACTCGGCACGGAATATGTTAAATTATAGAATATGTTCAAGTTTATCGACAAAAACGTATTATGTACACCATATTCGTACAACATAAGCATATTAATTGTTTTTGTGTAGATATTTATAAGCGAAAGTTACATTTTAAACCGTAACGTTAAGCCTAACGTTATGTCCGAGGGGAAGGCTGCCATATAACGTACGTCTACCTAAGGGAACGTGGTATATTACCTCGTTTAAATCCTAAAACATGTCAAATGTACTACTATAATGTGTAATAGCTTTAATTTCGGGATGTTTTATGATATTTTTTGTGTTTCCGTAACGTGAAGAGTTGATATGAAGAGAACGCGGTCTTTCTCTCATCATTTTAGCCTAATGTCACGTTAGGCCCACTTTTATGGATGCGAAGAGTTATTGAAATCTATGAAACGTGTAATGTTAAACACATTAATACGCTATTTTAGGGTAACTTAAGCGTGATGAATAAGGTTAAGATTGTGAAAACTTTTGCAATTGTCTCGTGGAGAGACCAACATAAACCTGAATATCTAACGGTCCATCTACGATAAAATGGCGCTCATTTTGAAACAGCGTTTTGACCCCTTGAGGACGGCATTTCATAAAGCCGTTATCAGTGGGTGTCTCGATAAGCTGCCTAGGTCGTGAATCAGCTGATACTATTATTTTGTGTACTCAAATTCGTGCACTGGTAATTGATTTATATTAGTAATCACATAACCTTGGATTAGAGTTCTTACATTTTTTAAACGCTTTATTGTATAGCCAAAGTGTATTTCAATTATAAATGTAACATTTAGCTGTTGAAAATTCATTGAAAAATAAGTTCAAGTAGTTTTGATGAACAGTTGTTTTTATTATCTCTTATAACAATTTATCTTTTTCCCTCCCATTATTCATCTATCCTATGTGGTTCAAACCAGAGAGGCGATGATGTGGAGAGGCAGACCAGAGGGATGCAAATTTGTCTCCTTGAGACAGTCATTGATGCTGGAGGCCTGGATTCAGTGGTGGAGGAAGAAGTTCTAATAAACATTTCAGATGTACCAACTGCCTTTGGATTGCTTTTTGGACTGCTTTACACTCTATATATTGATTACCCCTAACAGTGGAAGTACCTTTTTGAAGCAGTGCAAAAGGTATTTCTGGGTCTTGACAGAGTTAGTGTTCTGCTCAAATACAGTCTTGTTTAGAGGTCAGAGGTGGTGCAGGGATGACATCAAAACCCAAAAGACTAATTCGCCACTGGTTCCCTCAAAATATTCCTATGCTTTAAAAAAAATATACATATATTTTTTCAATTTGTTAGTGAAATAAGGTTTGTGGTAAACAAGTTGATGACACTTAGATATTTTATTCTACAATGTTAAGACAATGATAAAAACGTTTGGGGTGTATGTGTGTGTAGTTTACATTGTAGAACAGAAAATCCATTCAAGTATTGTCAAATTGTGTTTACCACAGAGCTTATTTCACCAATAAACGAGGAACCAGTGTCGAATTAGACTTTCGGGTTTTGACATCATCCCTGCACCTCTCTTGAGTGTTATGATGCCAAATATTCGGTTGTTGATTTTCAATACTTTTTATACTTATGAAATATCTCGGACACCATTTTGTTACCAGTCAGTTTTTTAATACTTTTTATACTCATGAAATATCTCGGACACCATTTTGTTACCAGTTGTTGTTGTTGTGTTCTTTTTAGTGGTCAAATCACTTAATCACGATTAATCCCATCTAACATAAAAGTTTGTGTATAATGTGTGTATGTATATATATATATATATATATATATTATCTTTTGTTATATATGATATATACATGTATATGTGTGTCTGTGTGTGTGTATATATACACACTATATTGCCAAAAGTTTTGGGACGTCTGCCTTTACAAGCACATGAACTTTAATGACCCCATTATTAATCCGTAGGGTTTAATTTGGAGTTGGCCACCCTTTGCCACTATAACCGCTTCAACTTTTCTGGGAAGGCTTTCCACAAGGTGTAGGAGTGTGTTTATAGGAATTTTGACCATTCTTTTAGAAGCGCATTTGTGAGGTCAGGCATTAATGTTAGACCTGGATAACAGTTTCTTATTCATCCCAAAGGTGTTCTATCGGGTTGAGGTGCAGGACGCTGTGCAGGCCAGTCAAGTTCCTCCACACCAAACTCTTTATCCATGCCTTTATGGACCTGCTTTGTGCATTGGTGCGCAGTCTTGTTGGAACAGGAAGAGGCCATCCCCAAACTGTTGATTGTAAAGTTAGGTGGAGGGGGGATTATGGTGTGGGGTTGTTTTTCAGGGGTTGGGCTCGCCCCCTTAAGTTCCAGTGAAAGGAACTCTTAAAGCTTCAGCATACCAAGACATTTTGAAAAATTTCATGCTCCCAACTTTGTGCTAACACTTTGGGGATGGCCTCTTCCTGTTCCAACAAGACTGCGCACCAGTGCACAAAGCAGGTCCATAAAGACATGGATGAAGAGTTTGGTGTGGAGGAACTTGACTGGCCTGAACAGAGTCCTGACCTCAACCTGATAGAACACCTATAGGATAAATTAGAGCAGAAACTGTTATCCAGGTCTAACATCAGTGCCTGACCTCACAAATGCGCTTCTAAAAGAATGGTCAAAATTCCTATAAACACACTCACCTTGTGGAAAGCCTTCCTAGAAGAGTTGAAGCTGTTATAGTGGCAAAGGGTGGCCAACTCCATGTTAAACCCTACAGATTAATAATGGGATGTCATTAAAGTTCATGTGCTTGTAAACGCAGACGTCCTTACATATACCCACATGTGCACACATATAATATATATCAAAATATAATTATAAATATATATAAACACAAACTTTTATGTTAGATGTGATTAATCAACTTGACAGCACTAATTATTTTATGTATTAATTACTTGTAGAGTTTGTAGTTTTTACTACAATTTAAAATGTGCTTTATTCTCAGTTTAGGGAAAGATTAGTAAATGTTTTTTAGTTCCATAAATGTATGAAATGGAATTGGCAGTATTGAATTTAATGTTTGTCAACTGAGCACTTTTGCCTGTATGTTTAGTCTGTGCAGATTGTTGTGAAATAAAGGCTAATATGTGTTTTCATTTGTGTTTTTATGTGATTAATACTCCACGATTTTGTTAACCTCAGTATAAAATTTAGTACAGCAAATAATAAAAATCCTGATTAAAACATTTTAGTTGAATGAACTATAAAACTAGTTGAGCAAACATACTTTTTTAAGTTGGAGTCAAGTTTGGACCAACTAAAACATTTTAGTTGAATGAACTATAAAACTAGTTGAGCAAACATACTTTTTTAATTTGGAGTCAAGTTTAGGCCAACTAAAAAATAATAATTGAAGCAACACTTTGAAGAGAGAAATTGAGTGAACGTAAAAATTCTGTGGAACTAGTTACTAAATAATAATTAGTTGAGACAGCCTTAAATTTTTTACAGTGTATCTCCTCGCTAGAGCGTTTAACAGCAGCATTCAAGTAAGAAACATATTCTTATTAAAGCTACTGAAGTTATTCAGTCCAGAGCAGTGAGTGATTTTCTGTTTTTCTTTTGTTGTTTGATTCATATTAACACCATATATAGCCGTAGGTATATTACGCTGCTTTCACTTTAATACACAGGTCTAATATACACATGCGATTTCTTTCCCCGCTGTTTACCTTCACAGACATAACCGACTGTGTTTATGTGAAGTGTGTGTGTGCATTTGACAGTTTAAGCGCAATAAGATGTGAAAGAGAACTCAGTTTAATACTCATGGGACACTCCGACTGACATCCAGCTTTCTGTGTGCGTGCTTCGAGTGTGTGCGCTCAGCAAACCATATATCAGAAGTTTAGACTCATGGGACTTTAATACGAATACAGATGATAAACTTTCATGATGATAAGCAATGTCACGTGAGCGTGACCGCGATAGAGATTATCATCAAAACCAAACAGATGTTTTAGTTTTCGGCAGAGTATCCGAGGCACGAGCTGTAAAGGCCCCGCCCTCTTCTGGATAGGGGGCGGAGCAGAAGCAGCTCATTTGCATTTAAAGATACATGCACGAAAACTACATGTTTTTCTTTCCCCTAAAATGGTATAATAAATGATCTGTGGGGTATTTTGAGCTGAAACTTCACACACACATTCTGGGGACACCTGAGACTTATAATACATCTTGTGAAAAGGGGCATAATAGGTCTCATTTAAGCAGTTTTTGATGTTTCAGTGTGGATGAGAAACGTTTGGAGAACGCTTGAAACGCTAGAGTTGAGGGAGTGTGTTTTGGAACGAAAACACATTTCAAACATTAATGTAGACGTAGCCTGAGATTCTCAGAACAGGTGATGGTGGTCAGAATACCTGCTTTAGTGTGGCAGATCTGGTCTTCTGGCAGCAGGACGCTGATGGCGGCGAACAGCTGGTGTCGGACCAGAATCTCCACCAGATCTCCAACGGTGCAGTTTGTGGTTCCCCAGTCGAACAGCATCTCCATCGTGGGACTCTTTCCCTGGAGAACTGCTGCTTCAAACCTCCTGAAACCAGACGCCACACATAGCAACCATACAGAACATCTTAGCAACTGCATAGCAACCATCTCAAACACCCCAGTACTGTAGCTGTGGGTTTTGAACAGGCGAATACCACCAGTGTTGAAATTGTTCACTAAAACTATAAAATAAAAAATGCAGTTATTGTAGTTAAGCTGAAATAAAATATTATGGGCTGGTTTTACAGACAGTGCTTAGATTAAGACAGGATTTGGCCTTAGTTCAATTTGGGCATTTATGTAGCTTTTAAAAATGTGGATAGAAAAGAACATCACTGGTGCATATTTAACCATATGCTTTCAGTCAAACCAGCTCAAACATGCATTTGAGTCTGGGAGTAGCTTGAGACTTTCCTGTGAAACTGGGGGTATAAAAGATAAACATTAGATGAAAAATTTAAAACTGACTTTTTAATATCTACATTACAGATGTTGCCTTGGAACTTATTTATTTCAGTTAGTTATTTGCTAAGTTGAAGAAGGCCTACTAAAATTATCAAAAGTAAAACTGACAACAACACAAAAGTATTTCTAAACCTTAAACTAAAACTATAAAAAAGCAAATTCAAAATATGATTAAATACTATAATAATTTATGAGTAATGCAAAAATAACAAGGGGTAGAACAGATGAATAGATGGATGAATGGATGGATGGATTGGTAGGTGGATGGATCGATAGACATTTAAAACTAAAAATAAAATACAAAAATAAAGTCTAATTAAATATATTAATAAATTATAATTATTAAATTTATCAAATATAACTTTTATTTCATTTTAGATTTTGTGATATCCTGTTTATTTTTTCTATAGGCTACTTTGGTCAGAACCAACATCGAGAGTTAAAGGCCTTTAAAGGCCTGCTAGTGTGTGTGTGATGATGATGAAGATGATGAGGATGATGATGATGTACCGGATGTGCAGCTGAGAGTATCTGGGTTCTCCGGAGGTTCCGCTGATGTCCATCATGACGCTCCTCCAGTTCTCCTGCGGGTCCAGCAGGTCAGATAAAGCCCTCAGTGTGGAGAACCGGAGCTTCCGAACCGGCGTGGCCCGCGTGACGTCACACATGCCGAACAGAACCGTGTTTACTCTTCATAAACACGTTAGAATCTCTTCTGAAGAGTTCATACACATTCAGGGCTTTTCTTCTTGTGTTTACCGAGATTGAGGAACTTCCTTGATCTGTGCTCATTTCCCGTTCCTACAACATCCGCTTTAAACCGAAACTAAATGAGATTACGCGCTAATAAAAGGTGTAAACAGGGATCTCCACGCTTCACCTGGTATAAAAGTCAGATTTATAAATTAAAAGGCGAGTTTTTACCGTTTGAGATTATAGAATACGATGAACTATGACTATAAAACAAACTGGCTGAAAAACAAAACAGTTCTGTGAGAACACGGAAGTGAAAGGAAGTTCAGTGCTTTTGATGATCGAGGTGCCATTTCAGAGGACAAAGAAACATCTGCAAATATTGTCATTATTCAAGGTAAGTTAGGAAAATATCTTAAGCTACTGACCAATGTTTAAGTGTCATGTTTCCAGTGATCACAGAAGATTCATACAGCACAACTAATAGATCTTTATTGGATTTAACTAGTCTGAAACGAGGCTGAGTGTTTGTGTAAGAGACTCGAGAGTGAGTGTGTATCTTGTGTCTGCTGACTATTTTTTCCATTAATCATATTTTTTTGTATGAATTATTATTATTCACAATAACAATTGTAACTTTTAGTATGTTTAGTGTCAAATTATTATTTTAACTCTCGTCTTCCAAGAAGAGAATGACAAAATGTGAAAGTAATTGATCTAATCATGTTGAGACTCAATAATCACCAACATTCAGCTGAATATATCAGAAAGAAACAATAATTAGTTTTAGACCTTAAAAGTTTAAAAAATGCTTCAAAATAGTTGACCTGGCCACAGTGTCATTTCGTTACGCACATTTATGTGCACATACTTCATAGATATCTGCTATAAAAGTGCAATTATCTAAATACTTTTTCCTTTTCCTTTGCTCCAACAGTCCATCAAGGACGATGGCATCTGATTTAGTGCTTCATACTCTAGAAGACCTGGAAGAACGTGATCTGAAGAGATTTAAGTGGTTCTTAAAGCAAGATGGACCCGTTAGAGCTGGTAAACTGGAGAAGGCTGATGTCACTGATATAGTGGATATAATGATGGAGCTTTTTGGACCTGAAGAAGCTGTGAAGAAAACACTGAACAGCCTGAGGAAGATGAACCAGAACCGGCTGGCTGAAGAGTTACAGAACAACTACGCTGAAGGTAATAAAGGAAATGATAGAGAACGAGAGGCAGCATAGATACATATTCAGATTATTTTAAAAAAAGATTATTGTTTACCAAGGCTGCATTTAATTATCAAAAATAGTTGAAATATTGTGAAATATTACCATTTAAAATAACTTTTCTATTTGAATATCTAAAATTAAATGTTTTTATGTTGCGATCACAGGAAAACCCTCAAAGCTGAATTTTCAGTGCTGATTCATGCTGATTTAGTTAATAGTTTAATAGTTCTGCTGCTTAATGAAGTGTTGAAACATGATGCAGAGCCTTTTTCAGGATACTTTGATAAACATAAAGTCTCTCTCCTTTCTCTCTCTTCACAGTGCAAAAATCAGGAGCAGCTGAGAAACAAGGTGAATTAACCTTAGACACATCCATATGGAAGTAATATAATGTATTTGAAACAAGAAATCATGTTGAATTGCACTCAATGAAAATAAATCCATCGCATTAACCTGCTTGCATTTTAATGCATTGTATTTTCAGGGCTTGCAGTTTTTGGGTCTAAAATCCTTCTATTTTTCAATTAGTGCAATTCAACATGCTTTTTTGTTTCAAATACATTCGTCATTATTTTTCTTCCATACACGTCCTTACAGTGGGATCAGAAATTATTTTAGTATGTTTGATGCATATTGATCTCAGCACAGAACTGCTTTCAGTAATATGGATGTAAATACCATATGTTTGCACCTGTTAATTTTTAATGATAATCATACTAAAAACCTTTGTGTTTAATTTTCTAGTGTTGTTTTGTTAACACCATTTCCTGTATATTTATATTTTTCATAACAGATGATTTCTGGCTGCAGGAATTCTTGAAAACTCACAAAATGAACATGAAGGAGAAAGTGGAGCACATTTTTGAGGGTAAAAGAGAAAATAAAGCAGATCTCAAGGATGTTTTCACAGAACTCTTCATTACGGAGGGGGATCTTAAAGAAGTAAATCAAGAACATGAGATTTCGCAGATTGATAAAGCCATTAAACCCTATAAATCACAGGACAGGCCAATCAAATGCAATGATGTATTTAGTCTGAACAAAAATAAGAATAAGATTGTGCTGACCAAAGGCGTCGCTGGCATTGGAAAAACTGTCTCAGTGCACAAGTTCATTCTGGACTGGGCAGAAGGAAAAGCCAATCAGGAGATAGACTGTGTTTTCCTGCTTCCATTCCGAAATATTAACTGCATTAAAGACAGAGAGATCAGTCTGGATGAGTTTCTACAGAAATTGAATCCTGAACTGAAGAAAATGGAAACAGCAAAGAGGTGTCAGATATATAGTCCTAAGCTTAAGCTTGCGTTAATCTTTGATGGACTGGATGAGAGTCGACTGTCTTTGGATTTTGGCAGTGAAATTGAAAAGAGTGTTGAGGAGCGATTATCTGTAGATGAACTGTTTACAAGTCTGGTGAATGGGTCTCTGCTTCCATCAGCTCACGTCTGGGTGACATCACGACCAGCAGCAGCCAATCAGATCCCTCCGTATTGTGTAGGGTTGTTCACCGAGATGCGAGGATTCACTGACCAGCAGAAGGAGGAGTATTTCAGAAAGAGAATCCAAGATACGACTCAGGCCTCCAGAATGATCTCACACATTAAGAAATCTCGTAGTCTCTACATCATGTGCTACATTCCCGTGTTCTGTTGGATCACAGCCACTGTTCTAAAGGACATTCCCATTGGGAACAATGCCGAGAAAATCAACACGACACTCACTGAAATGTACATCCACTTCCTGCTGATACAGATGAACATGAAGAGCCAGAAGCATGACAGTAAAACAGAAAGACAACGTACCAAGCTCTTAGATTCCAATAAAACAATGATTTTGAAGTTAGCTAAGCTAGCGTTTGAACAGCTGAAGAAGGAAAACATAGTGTTCTATGAGAAAGATCTGAAAGCTTGTGGTATTGATGTGAGTGAAGACTTTGAGTCCACAGGAATGCTGACTGAGATCTTTCAGCAAGAAGCTGGACTTCATGAGATAAAGGTCTTCTGCTTCGTGCATCTGAGTGTTCAAGAGTTCCTCGCTGCAGTGCACGTGTTCCTCTGCTACCTGAACAAGAACATGGACGAGCTGCAGTTTTTCAGTGAAGAAACACAAAACGAGGCCAGGCCTGACCACATCGACAAGCCAGACAAACACAAGGTCAGACCTAAACGTCAGTTATTTTTTCAGTTTGCAAAACTGTTCAAAACCAACAAGAGTAAGAGTGTGCCTGACAAAAATATTACTTTAGATTATTTACTAAAGAAGGCTGTTGAGAAAGCAATGAAAAGTCAGAAAGGACATTTAGACTTATTTTTACGGTTTCTGCTGGGCATTTCACTGGAATCGAATCAGAAACTGCTCAGAGGCCTGTTCACACACACTGAAGACAGCAAAGACAGCGTCACAGAAATAACTACACACATTAAAGAACAATTACAAAGCTATGAGAACATCTCATCTGAAACATCAGTCAACCTGTTCTACTGTTTACTGGAGCTCAATGAAAATTCATTATATACAGACATACAAAAATACTTCACATCTTATCCAAAAAGAGAGCTCTCGCCTTCAATGTACTCATTAATTGCTTACGTTCTGCTGATGTCAGAGGAGGTGCTGGATGAGCTCGACCTGAGTATGTACATGAGTGAATCAAATGGTAAACACTCAAGGATGTACAGGACATGGGGAGGCCACATGAATCTCCTGCCAGCTGTGAGATTCTGCAGAAAAGCAAAGTAAGAAACTTGTTGATGGCTTTTTAATAAAAAATTATAACTCTGAAAATCAATTTTAGCGTACAATGCATTGTGAAGTATCATGTTTTTAATGATTTTGGAGAGTAAAATCTGTATTTAATAAAATTGATTTACTAGTAAACAATGATTTTATAGAACGTTATTTTCACTTGACTGTCACATCAGTTCCAGCATATATGACATTTATATTTTTTCCAGAAAGCTTGAATGTTCACAAATAACATGACATAACATATCACTGTTACTACTAACACTGTTCATACAAGATGAACACACAATACATGCATTGGACAATTGTCTTGTTTTTACAGACTCTCCTCCTGTGATCTCGATGACACCTGCTGTGAAACTGTGGCTTTGGCCCTGCAGACACCAAACTCACCTCTGATAGAGCTGGACATGAGTGAAAATAACCTGAAGGATTCAGGAGTGAAGCTGCTCTCTGATGGACTAAAGAGCCCAAATTGTCAGCTGAAGATACTGAGGTTTGAGATTCATTCTTATACAACACCCACCTCAGTGTTTCATCCACTAAAAACGGAGTATGACATTATAAAACGCTTAACATGAAAATGCTTATTTCGAAGTCCACAGTAGTCGATTGTCGAGTTCGCGCGCGCGATCATTGGTAACTAATAACTAATGATCGCGCGCGCGAACTCGACAATTGACTACTGTGGACTTCAAACGAAAACAGGAAGTAAATACAGGTATGTGAGCTGGCTGAATTAACATCATTTTTATTAATATCTTTCACATCTACTGCAGTCAGATTGACCGTGGTCACTCTTAATAACACCACTCACATGGCTGTGCACTTGTAATGACACATTAAGGTTGTTAAGAGGCTAAAGCAGGTTTAGAACTTGCCCCATTGAAGTCAACAGGGTGCGAATTTTAAAAAGAGGATAACTCGGTGTAGGCAACACCGGTTTTTGTCGTTTTTGTCTGTACTGACAGCACTCCAAATGTACAAAAAAATGAGCTCAATGTTAAAATTGACCGGAGTTCTCCTTTAAATTAGAGCACAAATGAAAACTGTTAAAGAAAAAAATATTTTAAAACGCATAGTATACTAAAATATACTATCGCTATACAGGGGCGGACTGGGACCAAAAAGTGTCCCTGGACTTTCTGGCCCACCACATCCCAGATCATAACACATTGGCTCATTAATGTGCAGAATAATATTTAACACCACTTATAGCATAAAAATTGAACACAATACAAAAATAAATGCTATTTAAACATTTATCAGTCCCTCCAGAAAAACGCGATTATGCGATCGCTGATTTCAATGCAAAATCAGCCAAAGTCCGCATATTTTTGCGGGGGTCGCATTTTTTTAAATACTCCGCAATTTCGCCGCATAAATTGCTGATTTCCGCGCAAAATATGCGGGGCTTGCATGATTTCATAATCCCCGCATTTTTTTCGCGTAAAAAAGTCATATATCTTAGCAGAAAGTTGGAAAATGTTGCGTTTGCTTCAGGGGACGTTATGAAGTGACGTAATTACGCGACGTGAACATCATTGAAAAGCTGTAAAACAGGAGCACACTTTATTTTTAAATATTTCATTTATTCATTTTTACTGAAGTTGTAGCATATTCCTCTAGTAAAGCTACAGAACTTGTTTGACTCAGCAATGTTTTGTAAGTTTGATGTGTTTATTAAGGTCTTGTAACGCGTTGTGTCGGGAAGAAAAATAGGGATAGCTCACAGCTGAAGTTATTGCAGAGGCCAGACAGACTCACGGAGGCGATTGGCATCTCACAACTCGCACTTTATTCCCAAGTCGAACTCGTAACTGTCTGTCACACGTTCTACCGTCCACATCATTACTTAATAAACAAAATAAGATAAAAGAAGTAGCATCAAACAGAAATAACCCGCACACATGGGGTGTTTGAGGCGCACATACAATATAATAACGTTACTGCAGACAGTTCAACAGGGAGCGCGCAGCTCTTAAAGGGGCCACACCTTATTTCCACTCGTTACAGTCTGAAATAAAACAAGATGAGAAATTAAATATTTCCAGCACTTTCTGTGATGTAGTATGCTTGCTTATCATAGGAAGTAATAAGAAATAGCTCTTTACATTAAGGTAGTAGCCTAGTGAGAACAGGGTGTTGGGGGAATCACTTTTTTTTTCTCTTTTTCATCAAACCTCAGTTTTTGCAAGTTCCCGCAATTTTTGCAAGTTCCCGCAATTTTTGCAAGTTCCCGCAATTTCATCGCAAAAAATTGCATAAATATCCCGCATATTCCATCGCATTTTTAAAGAAAACGGGCCGCGTAATCAAGGATTTTTGCCCGCAACAATCACAAAAAAACTCCGCGTTTTTATGGAAGGACTGATTTATTTTAAGTAACACAACATATGTTAGGTCATATTTGTAAAACAAAGGAAAACAAACAGAAAAACATTAAGACATACAACATTATTAATTTAAAACTATCAAGACAGCAAATCAGCTAGTCAGGGTGTATCATCGTGGTGCAGTGTAAGATACAGTACTCAGCAGACTAGGCTGCACCACTCAGCTGTACAACTCCTGAATCAAGATCGAAACTATTTTGCATTAACACGAATCCTCATGGCATACTATTAGGCTATCATGTGACATTAAACTTGATTGATGTCCACAGGCTTCATGTCATCTTCTGGGAGCAGGTCAGCAGAGCTTTATGAGGATGAGGAGGAGATTGCTTGTGTGTGTGTGTGTGTACATTTGAAAGAGCTTGTGTATGTGTATGATGAACAGAGTTTGTGTGTATAAGAAATGAAAGGATTCCTGTGAAGGAGACAAAACAGATTAGGGATTATTCAGCATTATCTGTAATACATATTTGTTAGTGTAAAGTGTAAACCAAGTAGCCAAATACAAATAATATTAATACTCATAAAACCTGCCCAGAAAGCCACATGGACGAAAGGTGTAAACTTATTGTGTAAGATGTGTTGGTCCTATCTGCAACGATCATAGCTACAAAATCTACAAAGGTTAGGAGCAAATTTAAATTTCTCTCAAACACTATAACAAGCAAAGTATAAAATTTTAAACATTAGAGTATCATCAAAATCTTAAATTATTTCATTATTAAGTTAAAGATAAACAAAACAATGAACTAGTTTTTGGAAGAAAACAGTATAATTCAATAGAGTTTATTATTTTAATTTTATACTAATTGTTGAGTTAAGAACTAATTTCTCAGCACTCAGTAGTGTTTGGAATTAATATGAACTACCATCATTGTTAAAATGAGTAACTAGTTTACTAGTGCGAGCTAAATAATGCTACTACTGATATCATTTCAGTTTACCGGTTCAGTTTGATTGCCATCCTCTTCACTGGCTCAGGTACAGGTAGAGAGGGTGTTGTTGGTCATCATCAGCAGGCGCTGCTGGTTCATCATCACTGACACTGACTGTGCTGCTGGGTCCAGCCTCGCTATCCTTGACCTTTGCTGTAATACTAGAGCCGTCAGAGCCTGCTGAACTGCAACTTCCCTTCGCGCCAAATGCATAATCTGTTCATTTGAAGCATTTCACAGCATCTACTACATCTAATGCTTTTTTTTTTTACGTGTAACTTTTCAGCTCCACCTATTTTTTTCTTCCACCTTTTCATCCATGGACAAATATTTGTAATTATCTGCTCAGAGAAATTCGCTGTAATGGATCAATCTTTCTCTCTCTGTAAATTTCAAGATAAGCAATGGAGTAGACCAAATTAATTAACAGGCAATACACTCACATGCACACAAAACACACTCCTTGTTGGCCGCGCCCACGAGATCGACTCACTAATCCATTTGCGTTGAGATGTAATATTATGATTTCTGTCATTTTTAAAAAATATATATTTGTGTACCTGGTGGACCGGCCCAGATTGGCCAGAGGTCCACCGGGAAAAGTCCCAGTACTCCAGATGGCCAGTTCGCCCCTGGCTATATAATATTCCTAATCCAGCTGTAGAAACGAAGAGGATGGGTATTAAAGTGGGTATGGCGTGGGGGCACATACTAATGTGTGGGTGCCGGAGCTGGCATGTGACGTAGGAGTTAACCCAAAAAAACGTTTTTGGGTCTCTTGTAGCTCGCGCAGCAATGACATTTGCCTTGCCAGTTCCTCTTCCCTTGCCTGACTCGCCTCCATCCTCAGTCGCTCCTCGTATTCCCTCTGCTCTGTCAAGCGAACACGCTCCCTCTCCTCAAAGTCCCTGTCCATTTAAAAAAAGAGGTCCTTCACCTCTTTCACAATTGTTTGAGTCCTGGACAGGGGCTTTCTGGACTTTTTAGCAGGAGGTGGTTGAGGCGATTCTAAAAAGGATTATTAACCAGGAATACACACGTGATGCATGGCAAACAAAACACAAACTACAACCATGGGAATATTTTAAAACCCTTAAAACTTGCCTTGATGCGTGACCACAGTGATATTAGAGGACCAAATTTAAGATTTAGATTTAAGTGAGATTCTGGCTTCATAAGCTTTTTTCACGGTAAGCGTTTGAGAATGTCCCCAACAATATAGCTAATGGTTATGTAGCTCACCTGAACGGATTTCTCTAGAGTTTTCTTCAATGGCCTGGGGGCAAGGAAGAAGCAGAAGAAGAGAAAACTGCGGAGGAACTAGACAGTTCTGCTGATAACTCCTCTTCGTCATTGCTACACGAAGATGAGTCCATACTCCACGGTAGTGCCACTGGGTTTGCTGAGTGGCTCGTTCCTCATATGCTGTAGCATAGGTTGTAGAAAGGCCAGTCTAATCTTCTACAACAGAATACATAAACTTAACATTAGCAGTGAAGCCAGTTAAATCAATCTCAAATAACACAAAAAGCATGTGCAATGATTACAAACCAATACAAAAACCACACTAGTAAATAGAATAAATGAAGCAAAAGAAAAGAAAATACTCCTTACATTGATTGAGCATTAAAAATCAAAGTTTCCCAATCAGGACTCAAAATGGATTGTGGTATCACATATGATTTAACAAGCTTTTGTTGTGTGTTCTGATGTCACAGTCTCAGATATCGTCATTGTTTCTGTGTGTGTTTGTAGATTACGGGACTGTAAGGTGACAGAAGAAAGCTGTGGTTATCTGGCTTCAGCTCTGTGTTCAAACCCCTCACACCTGAGAGAGCTGGATCTGAGCCTCAATCACCTGGGAGACTCAGGAGTCAAGATGCTCTCTGATCTACTGAAGCATCCAAACTATGCACTGAATAAACTGGATACTGAGCAGTAAGATTGATCTCATCCTGTGAATATTTGTATTTGTATTTCGGTCTTACCATTTACAAGTGTACAGTGGAGTGAAATGTCCAAAGGGTCTGTATTAGAGTTTCGTGGAGGAAAATATTATTTATTTACTTAGTTACAATATCAATATCTCGGAATAGGCCTTTTGAAAAGATAGTTAATGCAAACATTTAAAATCTGTCACTATTTACTCACCCTCACGTCATCCAAACCTGTATGCCTTGCTTTCAGTCAGTGGTCACCAAAACATCACAATATCTTTTTTGTTCGGCAAAAAAAATCCATGAGAATGACATGAGAGTGAGTAAATGATGACAGGGTTTTAATTTTAGTGTAAACTGTCCCTTTAAGAAAGGGCAGGTTTTATTAGGCTCAGAATCAGTGGATTGCTTCTTTGGTGTTGATTTGGTAAAAATATAACCATGTTGTGCTTGGACTGACAGGTTTGTCATATTTCCTCTTTGAGAGGATACACATGATCTACGGTACAGGTTTAACATGGCATTTCTAATTGAGTTCCTTCATAGTGTTTAAAACCAAAATACTCCCATACAATTGAGGTACTTCCTTGTTTTGACACTGGATCTTCTTCTGCATCTTCATTGTCTTCACCATCAAGGGATCATTTTGACAAGCTAACACACATTTGAGGTCTTTCACACACGGTTCTTTCATCTGTCTTCACTAGTTCTTATAAACAAGCATTAGACCGGTGTCTTTGACCGCTGTGATCCTCTCTGTTTTTTTACTCTTGCTCATGTGATATTGCTTATCATCATCATCATCATCATTTCTTTATTCAGGACATACATATAAAATGGTCCATAGCACTATACAAGATAAAGTACATACAAAATAGAAAAAAAATTGTAAAAAATGACTACACAGTCAAAATTCCACAATACACGAAGAAAGTGTTCACATATTGGCATATAGACTAAAGCGCCAGTGATTCCACAAACCCGAAGCTTAATTAGCTTTATCTATAAAACACAGAAATATGGTATGTCTTTATATACTGTATTACATATTATATAAATATATAAACATATTTAAAATGGGTTTATTCTAATTGTCCTCATTAAGTTAATGTGTGTGTTTTATAGTGTAATGGAATATGACACAGGTATTTTTTCACACACACATATATCTGTGGTTAATGTTGTTTTGTTCTCTCTTCTTGTCTTCAGATACAAGTAATCTCTCACTGGATCCAAACACAGCAGTCACTCGTCTCACTCTGTCTGAGGAGAACAGAAACATGACGCACGTGTTTGAGGATCAGCCGTATCCTGATCATCCAGAGAGATTTGATGAGTGTCGTCCGGTTCTGTGTGGAGAGAGTCTGACTGGAGTCAGTCAGTGAATATCAGTGACATATAAAGGTATCAGCAGGAAAGGAAGGAGACACTGTAAATTTGGATTTAACAAAATATCCTGGAGTCTGAACTGTGCCAGTGAATCTGTAATCAGAAGAGGAGTATTATTTTTGGACTGACTGTTCTTCTACAGTGTTCTGACACTCACACACATTCAACACAATCAGTTTACATAGTTTTTTCTTATTTTCCTTGTTGGTTGTCATACAGTCATGATTATTTACTCTTAATATGTTTAAATGTTTCTGAGGATAAGGAAGACGTAATCTGCTGAAATGCTTCTTTTATCTTTTTGTTTTCTCTTCTGCTTCAAATATTTGATCATTTCTGAGGTTAGTTTTATGAAAGAGCTTTACAGGGCCCTGAGAAGAGCTTGTGCTGATAATCATTAAATCATCCATTAGCCAGTTGTACAGAATATCCTCTGCTTTTGTGTTTAACCGGAAAGTCTACGAGCACATTCATTCAAGCGCTATGATGGTAATTTGTGCGTGTTCATACAGTAGTTGATGAATCATTACATTGTTTCGATTCAGGGGAAATGTAAAGATTTAGATAATGTTCATATACAGTGGCCACTAAACGTATTTAGACACTTAAGCCACAATAAAGCATTTATAAATGTCTTTGCATTTGTTTTTCAATCAAGAAAAGAACATTTGAAACAATAGATTGTTTATGCACTCTCAGAAAAAAAAAAAAGTAAAACAGCCTTTTTATAAGATACACTTTTATACACTATTTAACCTTTAATGATACATATTAGTACTTTTGACAGCCTTTGTACCCTTTTCTATTTTTTTAATGGCTAAACATTATTTAAGGCTATTCTATAGGTTAGGATATTGATATAGGAACTGTTATTGCTAATAAAGTTTTATGATGTTTCTCCATTTAAACCTATATAAAAGTTCATATCAGTATCGTCCCTCATACCAAATTTAACAACCATTACTGTACAGCAAAGTGACTGATCATAAAGATCTTGTGACATGAGTAACAGTAAACCAGAGGTTTAGTAAAGCATATAGTGAGTGTGTTAATGTTCACTCTCTTTCATTCAGACGTTTGGCTGTTTGGTGTTCTGCGCCCTGTGCCGGATGATGCTGTAAATACTGATTTTCCTCTGAATCCACAACTTTGTGACGTCACGCCGCTTTGACTGTCAATAGGAGTTTGCTGCGAAGGCTTGGCAATAGTGCGCACTGAGGGAGCTAGTGGTGGAACTGATCACAAAATTCACGGTTCGGATCATTTACAGTTTTTGAGCCACAGATCGGATAATGTTTTGGATCAGCCAAAAAACAAACAAAAACAATATATATACATATATATATATATGGGGGGTGGGTTACTTAAAGCTCACTTGAAGTTCTTCGATACTACATCAAAAACTACTAGCCTAACTGATAAAGTTCAAACATTATTAAAAACAAGTGAACAGTCAGTAATAAAATAATAACAAATACACAAATTACAAGCAGAGATGAATACTAAATAACAAAGTTACAAAGTCTAACAGTAGTATTCACGTACAGAAATGAATAATTAACCCTAAATGTAAAATAACACTTTTTGTTCACTGTAGAAATTAAATTTAGTCTCATCCTTGTTAAAGCTGAATTTTGTTGTTAATCCACGAATCCCATGCGTGTCGAACTGTGAAGCAGCCGATCCTTACGGATCACGGATACATGTAAAGGCCCTTTCACACAGGTGTTTTATCGATGAGCAAAGTCCACCATATGCTGCTGCTCTCTGATATTCATTTTAATAAATTTGACTTTTTAATTTGTTTGTACAAAGGCTATTTTTTTTTAGCTGTATTGATAAGTTGGATTGTAATATGTTTGCTTTAAAAGTTTAGTATGTTATTTGTTATTCTATTTATCTGTATATAATCCTGTTGGTCTTGTGTGAGCTTAGCCTGACGTCGTCACACTCAGATTCTAGTCAGAATAGGCTTGTTTGAGATGCGCCTTGCCTCGCCTGAAATGTAGTCGAGAGTAGGCGGCTGCAGTGAGAGGAGGAGTGAAAAATGTGCAGGCAAGCCGGACAGATCTCTCTTCTCGCAGTGGATCAGACACCTGTGAGATCAAAGGCGGATATCGCGGGATTCACGCCCGTGCACATATGTCATATGTCACTGATGTCCTGCTGACATATGTCAGCATGACATCAGAGCAAGGCGGACCGCACTCGGACACATTTCTAACCGGCATGCATCTCGCGCTAGTCACCGGTGATCGGTTCTGCGCAGATTTTGCTCATCTCAGGCCCTGTCCACACGGACACGGGTATTTTTATAACCGTGACTTTTTTTACGCGGTTCGGCCATTCGTCCACACAAAAACGCACTGAAACCGAACATTTTTGAAAACCCCTGGCCAGGGTGAGGATTTTCAGAAACGCCGGTTACAGTGTTGTCGTGTAGACAGTGAAACCGGGGTTTTTGCCTTGCGACGTCAGAGTGTGCGCCGTTATCCGCTGTGTTTGACGTCAGATTTGTGCTTCTGATTGGCCAACGTGGCTTTACGGTTAAGGTTTATATCGCCGCCTGCTGGCGTGGCATGCTCTTGACCGCGCTTGATAGCGTGTTTTTGCGTTTTCATGTAGACGGAGACCGAGCATGTGTGGACGGGATTTTTTTTTAAACGCTGTAGGAAAAACCTGTGTCCGTGTGGACAAAGCCTCAAACAAGCCTAATATGAGTCTGATGCTGCTCCATTGGGCTGTGAATATGAGGCGTGTTTCAACCGAACCAGGAAAGAAAATGCCTCTGCACTCAATTGGATAGATCTACAACCAATCAGAGCAACGGACAAAATTCAGGGCTTCCGAAAAGGAGCTGGCAACGACCGCTGGTTATGTCCTTTTACTGTCTATGGTTATGTCCACCTCGTCGTGTGAAAATTAATGATTTCTTAATTTGTGATTTGTAGAATAGGATTTGTCCACCTGCAATGAAGAATTTGAGAAGGTGTAACTGTTTGCAAGTTTGCAACTCTTAAAACATTTCTCTCTTGTGACTTCAAATTTACTGATACACATGTGTGGCTATTCTCTACAACTACAAATTTCACTGTCACAGGCCTTCAGCTGTTTTGCACCACATATACCTTCATACATGGATGGATGGATGAGTGGATGGATGGATGGATTGGTAGGTGGATGGATCGATGGACATACAGACAGATAGATAAAAATTTAAAATAAATATAAAATATAAAATACAAAAATAAAGTCTAATTAAAAATATTAATAAATTATAATTAATAAATTAATATATAACTTTTATTTCATTTTAGATTTTGTAATATCCTGTTTAATAATTTTTTCTATAGGCTACATTGGTCAGAACCAACATCAAGAGTTTTTCTTTAAAGGCCTGCTAGTGTGTGTGTGATGATGATGATGATGATGAAGATGAAGATGAAGATGAAGATGATGGTGATGATGTACCGGATGTGCAGCTGAGAGTATCTGGGTTCTCCGGAGGTTCCGCTGATGTCCATCATGACGCTCCTCCAGTTCTCCTGCGGGTCCAGCAGGTCAGATAAAGCCCTCAGTGTGGAGAACCGGAGCTTCCGAACCGGCGTGGCCCGCGTGACGTTACACATGCCGAACCGAACCGTGTTTACTCTTTATAAACACGCGCAGAATCTCTCCTGAAGAGTTCACACACATTAACGGCTTTTCTTCTTGTGTTTACCGAGATTGAACTTCCTTGATCTGTGCTCATTTCCCGTTCCTTCAACATCCGCTTTAAACCGAAACTAAATGAGATTACACGCTAATAAAAGGTGTAAACAGGGATCTCCACGCTTCACCTGGTATAAAAGTCAGTTTTATACATAAAAAAAGATAGTTTTTACTATTTGAGATTATAGAACACAATGAACTATGACTATAAAACAAACTTGCTGAAAAAAAAACAGTTCTGCGGAGAAACACACAGTTCTTCATGAGAACACGGAAGTGAAAGGAAGTTCAGTGCTTTTGATGATCGAGGTGCCATTTCAGAGGACAAAGAAACATCTGCAAATATTGTCATTATTCAAGGTAAGTTAGGAAATATCTTAAGTTACTGACCAATGTTTAAGTGTCATGTTTCCAGTGATCACAGAAGATTCATGCAGCACAACTAATAGATCTTTATTGGATTTTACTAGTCTCTGAGTGTTAGTGTAAGTGAGTGTGTGAGTGTATCTAGTGTCTGCTGACTATTTTTTCCATTAATCATTTTTTTTATTATTTTTTTTTATTATTATTATTAACAATAAATGTTGTAACTTTTAGTATGTTCAGTGTCACGTTATTCTTTGTATTCCAGTCTGGTCTGAAATGTAAAAGACAAGTCTTCCAAGAAGAGAATGACAAAATGTGAAAGTAGTACTTCTGAAATCTAATCATGTTGAGACTCAATAATCACCAACATTCAGCTGAATATTTTAGAAACAATAATCTACTGAGCAAATAACTCTTAAACTGAATAACAACCTGAAGAATTAGTTTTAGACCTTAAAAAAAAAAAAAAATGCTTCATAATAGTTGACCTGGCCACAGTGTCATTTCATTACGCACATTTATGTGCACATACTGCATAGATATCTGTTATAAAAGTGCAATTATCTAAATACTTTTTCCTTTTCCTTTGCTCCAACAGTCCATCAAGGACGATGGCATCTGATTTAGTGCTTCATACTCTAGAAGACCTGGAAGAACGTGATCTGAAGAGATTTAAGTGGTTCTTAAAGCAAGATGGACCCGTTAGAGCTGGTAAACTGGAGAAGGCTGATGTCACTGATATAGTGGATATAATGATGGAGTTTTTTGGACCTGAAGAAGCTGTGAAGAAAACACTGAACATCCTGAGGAAGATGAACCAGAACCGGCTGGCTGAAGAGTTACAGAACAACTACGCTGAAGGTAATAAAGGAAATGATAGAGAACGAGAGGCAGCATAGATACATATTCAGATTATTTAAAAAAAAGATTATTGTTTACCAAGGCTGCATTTAATTATCAAAAATAGTTGAAATATTGTGAAATATTACCATTTAAAATAACTTTTCTATTTGAATATCTAAAATGAAATGTTTTTATGTTGCGATCACAGGAAAACCCTCAAAGCTGAATTTTCAGTGCTGATTCATGCTGATTTAGTTAATAGTTTAATAGTTCTGCTGCTTAATGAAGTGTTGAAACATGATGCAGAGCCTTTTTCAGGATACTTTGATAAACATAAAGTCTCTTTCCTTTCTCTCTCTTCACAGTGCAAAAATCAGGAGCAGCTGAGAAACAAGGTGAATTAACCTTAGACACATCCATATGGAAGTAAAATAATGTATTTGAAACAAGAAATCATGTTGAATTGCACTAAATGAAAATAAATCCATCGCATTACTCTTGCTTGCATTTTAATGCATTGTATTTTCAGGGCTTGCAGTTTTTGGGTCTAAAATCCTTCTATTTTTCAATTAGTGCAATTCAACATGCTTTTTTGTTTCAAATACATTCGTCATTATTTTTCTTCCATACACGTCCTTACAGTGGGATCAGAAATTATTTTAGTATGTTTGATGCATATTGATCTCAGCACAGAACTGCTTTCAGTGCTATGAATGTAAATACCATATGTTTGCACCTGTTGATTTTAATGATAATCATGCTAAAAACCTTTGTGTTTAATTTTCTAGTGTTGTTTTGTTCACACCTTTTCCTGTATATTTTAATTTTTCATAACAGATGATTTCTGGCTGAAGCAATTCATGAAAACTCACAAAATGAACATGAAGGAGAAAGTAGAACACATTTTTGAGGGTAAAAGGGAAAATGAAGCACATCTCAAGAATGTTTTCACAGAACTCTTCATTACAGAGGGGGATCTTAAAGAAGTAAATCAAGAACATGAGATTCTGCAGATTGATAAAGCCATTAAACCCTATAAATCACAGGACAGGCCAATCAAATGCAATGATGTATTTAGTCTAAACAAAAATAAGAAAAAGATTGTGCTGACCAAAGGCGTCGCTGGCATTGGAAAAACTGTCTCAGTGCACAAGTTCATTCTGGACTGGGCAGAAGGAGAAGCCAATCAGGATATAGACTGTGTTTTCCTACTTCCATTCCGAAAGATGAACTGCATTAAAGACAGAGAGATCAGTCTGGATGAGTTTCTACAGATATTTAATCCTGAACTGAAGAAAATAGAAACAGCAAAGATGTGTCAGATATATAGTTGTAAGCTTGCGTTTATCTTTGATGGACTGGATGAGAGTCGACTCCCTTTGGAGTTTGACAGTGGAATGGTGACGAGTGTTGAGGAGCGATCATCTGTAGATGAACTGTTTACAAATCTGGTGAACGGGACTCTGCTTCCATCAGCTCACGTCTGGGTGACATCACGACCAGCAGCAGCCAATCAGATCCCTCTTGAGTGTGTAGGGTTGTTCACAGAGGTGCGAGGATTCACTGACCAGCAGAAGGAGGAGTATTTCAGAAAGAGAATCCAAGATACGACTCAGGCCTCCAGAATGATCTCACACATTAAGAAATCTCGTAGTCTCTACATCATGTGCTACATTCCCGTGTTCTGTTGGATCACAGCCACTGTTCTTCAGGCCGTCCCCATTGGGAATGATGCAGAGTACATCAACACGACACTCACTGAAATGTACATTCACTTCCTGGTGATACAGATGAACATGAAGAGCCAGAAGCATGACAGAAAAACAGAAAGAGAACGTACCAAGTTCTTAGATTCCAATAAAACAATGATTTTGAAGTTAGCTAAGCTAGCGTTTGAACAGCTGAAGAAGGAAAACATAGTGTTCTATGAGGAAGATCTGAAAGCTTGTGGTATTGATGTGGGTAAAGACTTTGAGTCCACAGGAATGCTGACTGAGATATTTCAGCAAGAAGCTGGACTTCATGAGATGAAGGTCTTCTGCTTCGTGCATCTGAGTGTTCAAGAGTTCCTCGCTGCAGTGCACGTGTTCCTCTGCTACCTGAACAAGAACATGGACGAGCTGCAGTTTTTCAGTGAAGAAACACAAAACGAGCTGCAGTTTCAAGGAACACTAAAAAGGCGTGAATCTGTCAGTAACAGAACACAAAAAGAGGTCAGATATAACCATTCATTTCAGTTTGTAAGACACAATAATAAGATTGTGTCTTTCTTAAAAGAGTCAGACAAAAATATTGCTTTACATGATTTACTAAAGAAGGCTGTTGAGAAAGCAATGCAAAGTCAGAAAGGACGTTTAGACCTATTTTTACGGTTTCTGCTGGGCATTTCACTGGAATCGAATCAGAAACTGCTCAGAGGCCTGTTCACACACACTGAAGACAGCAAAGACAGCATCACAGAAATAACCAAACACATTAAAGAACAATTACAATACCAGTACAATTCCATCTCACCTGAAACTTCAGTCAACCTGTTCTACTGCTTACTGGAGCTCAATGACAATTCATTATGTACTGAAATTCAAAGATACCTCAGATTATTTCCAGAAAGAAGCCCCTCGTCTTCCATGTGCTCATTGATGGCTCATGTACTGCTGAGGTCAGAGGAGGTGCTGGAGGAGCTCAACCTGAGTATGTACAGGACATCATTGGGGGAATACATGAATCTCCTGCCAGCTGTGAAATGCTGCAGAAAAGCAGAGTAAGTACTTGTTGACGGCTGTTTAATCAAAGTTTTTAACTCTGTAAATCAATTTTAGCGTACGATGCAGTGTAAAGCAGTGGTTCCCAAACCTGTCTTGGCGACCCACCAACACTGCACATTTTCTTTGTCTCCCTAATCAAACACACCTGATTCAACTCATCAGCTCATTATCACATGGGTTAATGAGCTAATGAGTTGAATCAGGTGTGTTTGATTAGGGAGACAAAGAAAACGTGCAGTGTTGGTGGGTCGCCAGGGCAGTTTTGGGAACCACTGGTGTAAAGTACCGTGAAATCTGTATTTACTAAAATTGATTTACTAAACACTGATTTTATAGACATCAATTTGAATGTTATTTTCACTTGGCTGTCACATCAGTTCCAGCATACATGACAAATATATTTTTTTCTAGAAAGCTTGAATGTTCACAGAGAACATTACATAACCTATCACTGTTACAACAAACACTGTTCCTACAAGATAAACTCACAATACATGCCATGGACAAATATCCTGTTTTTACAGACTCTCCTACTGTTCTCTGGATGACACCTGCTGTGAAACTGTGGCTTTGGCCCTGCAGACACCAAACTCACCCCTGATAGAGCTGGACATGAGTGGCAATGACCTACATGACTCAGGAGTGAAGCTGCTCTCTGATGGACTGAAGAGCCCAAACTGTCAGCTAAAGATACTGAGGTTTGATATTCATTCAATCCTTATACAACACCCACCTCAGTATTACTTTTACTAAAATTATATTATAAAATGTATGGCATTATAAAGTATGACATTATAAAATGCTTAACATGAAAATACTTAACGTGCCTTAATGCACAAAGACAGTGATTTGAATATATCAAACTCTGTACACACTGTATTGATGATGCTTAATATATACAGGCAAGCAGATGAACCCAGAATTTGAACACAGTGCACTAAATTGCATGTTAATTGTTTTTCTTTATAATGGTTTCCTATGGGGGAAAAAATTACATGAAACTTTGCACGTTGCGTTCATATTCTGAGTTCATCTATTTGCCTGTACATTGTATATGTTATTAATAAGGTGTGTACTAATATGGTCCTTCAATATCACTGCAAGAAAGATGATGATGATAAAATCAATGAAGCATGTATTGAAATAGGGACGTTTTCTCTCCATTATGTCCACACATGACAGATGGTGTCAAATCTTGCTGTACGTTTTTAAGATAAACAAATTAAAGTACCATCTCTTTTTTATTAGATAATCTGACAGTATTATATCATACCACAAATTGTACAAATCAAATAGTATATATCAGGCTTGTGCACAATTCAGAATTGAATTGAGAATGACTCCTGATTTCCAATTCAATTCTTGAATTTGAATTGGATTTGAATTGATGTAAAAAACAGGATCTAGAATTACAATTCGAATTTGAATTAATGGAAACAGAATTGCAATTCAATAAAAATTCTAAGAAATTCATATACATATTTTAAGTGAAGTGTTTAACAATGAAGCTTTACAGTATATGTCAGATATGATTGCATTACATATTCTATAAATTATATTAGTTTGAACTACTTGTACAGATTACACAAACAGGATATGTTTTCCCCCAGCAATGAATGTTAAGTTAATAATTAATTTTGATTTATTGTAATTGTAATTTTGTGGAACATGATGGAACATGACTCCATTTCCCAGAATAACTTTAGTAAATCTTTAGAAAAACAACAAAAATTTGAAGTGGACATTTGTTTATATATATATTAGAAAAATGTGTATGCAGGGTTGAGGAGTGACTAGTTACGTTTAATGAAATTGTTACTAAATTATTTTTTTATTTTTTTATTTAAAAGGGACAATGCATATGAATGAACATAGTTTTTCAGCAATGTACATATGCCAAAATAAGCCCCCAGGCTATTTTACATTTGTAGTCCCATGTGAGGTCATCAAACATTAGCCAATAACACAGCTAAACATTTAATTTAAACATGATTCGACATTTTTTTTTTTTTTTTAAAAGGACACACGATTAACAACAACCTATACGAAATGACACAAATTAGTAAACAGGGCAAAATTAATGTAATTGTATTTAGTTATATTACTGAGGTAAAATGTGCAATTCAATTAATCAAATTAAAGGGAAATTGCTTTACATTGATAAAGTAATCAAAATAAAGTAATCCAAACCGCATTTATAATGGGTAACTTATAACAGTAAGCAATTGTGACTCTGTGGAATTTCTTTGAATTGCCATAAATTTAATTCCACTTCCTGTCATTCAAATTTAACTTCCTGTGGGGCGGAGTCAATTCAATTCAAATTCCAATTCATAAATTGAATGGAGGCCAATACTGAAATTCTGAATTTTGCACAAGCCTGGTATATATATATATATGAATAGGAATAAAATAAATCAATACTTATATTTAGCAAGGATGCATTAAATTGATCAAAAGTTACAGTAAAGACATTTATAATGTTATAAAAGATTCTATTTCTAATAGATGAAATAGAACTTTCTATTCATCAAAGAATCCTAAAAAAAATTGTCCACAAATGTTTTCAACATTGGTAATTATAATAAATGTTTTTTGAGCATAAAATCAGCATATTAGAATGATTTGAC